ACTCGACAAGCTAAACGCTCAAATTCTTTTAAATAATCACGTAAGCTACCTTTCTGCCTTATTCGCGTGAGAGCCTCGTTTGTAGTTGTGGTAGTCGGACATTCCAAAACATGTGATTAAATCTCGCTCGAAATTATTCCATCGGATGACTCGCTGTCGGCTCCAGTATACGCTAGTAAGCCACTGCCACCACACGTTGGCTTCTCCATCAAGATAGTAAGCAGCGTACCTTACTCGATCATGTCCTTCGGTCTCGTTGAGATCAAAGTATTGAACGACTCGGTTGAGCCAAGCCTCGGGATCATTGCCGTTGTAGGTTGACAGCATGAGCTTGGGCTTGACGGGCCTCGGTCGGTCATGGTAGTCAGATGCTTGAGATTGCCGATCGAAGTTCTCCTCTTGCTCGCGCTCATCATGCTGCCGTTCCTCCTCCTCGTACCGCTCGCGGTCGTGGCGTCGTTCAAACTCTCGATCCTCAGGACGCCGCTCATGGTCATCATAATGCTCGCGCTCGCGGCGTCCTTCATGCTCAGGCCGCTCGCGATTGGGCCATCGGGGCGGTGATTGGCGCGCCAACACGTTGCGTGCCATCTCATCGAACCTTCGGTTCATGATCTCCATCAATTCACGAACGGATGCCTTTGTGGTATCGAGACCCTCGCCTAGGGTATTCATAGCCTCGCTCATACTTCAGACTTAAACATCGAGATTATCGATCTTGTCCTTCATCTCCTTATTGGCCTTGGTTTTTTTTTCTTTGCTTCTAGGACTCGTGTTGAAGATGATGATATATATATATGTATATATATATATATATATATATATTGATATAGGAGGGGGGACGAAAAATAGGAAAAGAAAAAGAAACGGAATGAGGTAGAAGAAAAACACACGATCTAACACCTCTCAATGAAAGCATCAATGATGAAGATCGTGTGTTTCGATTGCCGATAAGCCGCTAACCCGTGCCTTGAATCGCCGATAGTGTTTCTCTAGCCACAACCGCGCGTATTGAAACGAATAAAATTGCAATAGAATTTTGGTGAAAATCTAAAGCAAAGTGGAAGAACAAAAGTTCTGGATTTCTATTAATTCTTGAATGATGATAAATAACATGGGGGAAGGGCCTTTATATAGGCACAAGATTTGTCTAAGTCTAATCTACCTAGAAAAATAATAAAGCAATAAAATATTAAGTATCCTAACCAATCTAGATATTATAGAGCATTAAAGAAACTAAATAACTAGGGATCTTGAACTTGTCTTGCACTCCAAGTAACCCCAAGCCGCCATTGGCATCCCTGCCCGCGCGCGCGTGCTGTCCGTGCGCGCTGCTGCCCTGCGCTCGCGTGCAGGCTGTTTGATGAAGACCGTGTGTCTCCATTGCCGACAAGCCGCTCCCACGCCTTAAATCGTCGATACTGTGCTCGGAGGTTCACACACTCGTGCCCCTTCGAACGATAATTTGCAATAGAACACTTAACGTAAACTAAAGCAAGAGATTTGAACAAAGTTTGGTTTTTTGTATTAAGAAGAATCAATGATGATTAATTTTGAACAAGGCACGCCTATTTATAAGGCTAAAAATAAAGATCTAGTCCTAATCTACTTAGACTAAACTACTTACTCTAGGAAAGCAATAAAATATAAAGTGTCCTAAACAAACTAGAAAACAAGGAAATAAAATATTAACCAAGCTATCTAGAATATTCTTGCGTGTGACCCTAGCCGCCTTCCCCTGCGTCTGTGTTCCCTAATCGCCCAAGGACTAGGGCCTCATCTTCAATTCCCGCACACGCGTCCAGCAGCTCGCCTAATCCTCGCGCGCCTAGGCAAGTACGCGCGTGCACCCCGTCGCCTGTGCATTCAAACCCGCGCTCGTCCCCGACAGTATCGCGCATGTTTTATCCCACGCGCGCGCGCCCATCCGCGTATCGTGCCTCGCCGACACGGCGACATAGCCTCCTTCGCGCATGCCACGCGCGACTCGCTGCATTCTTGAGCCTTCTCGCCGTGTCTGCATCATTCCCGTCCCCTTCAAGTGCTTCCTTGTCCTCAAGGAAGAAATCGGGGAACATCTCGCGCATCTCGTCCCAACTTTGCCACGTCGCTTCCTCGCTCGGCAAATCCTCCCATTCGACGAGCACCTCCCAAAAATATTTCCCAGCCTTTTTTACTTGCCGGTACTCCATTGCGCGGCTCGGCCGCACCATAACCTGCCCGTCCAGCGCGACCGCGGGTAGTCGATCCTTTGCCGCGTGCGTCTCGTCGAGTCGTTGCTTGAGTTGTGAGACGTGTATAACCGGATGAATATGGGAATCGTCCGACAACTCAAGTCGATAAGCAACCTTCCCAACCTTGGCCAAAATTTTATAAGGTCTGTAATATCGAACTCCGAGCTTGGTCGCGACCCTTTGTGCGGCCGTCCTTTGCCGAAACGGCCTCAACTTCAAGTACACCCAGTCCCCGGGCTCGAACTCCACGTCACGCCGCTTGCCATCATGGTACGCCTTCATCCTATTGATCGAGCCCTCCAATGTCTGCTTTAGCTCGCGCAACATCAATTCGCGCTCGACCAACTCTCGATCGACCTCATCGTTCACGGCGCTCCCTATCGAGTAACTCACGATCGTCGGCGGCTTGCGCCCGTACACCAACTCGAACGGCGTCGCTTTAGTCGAGCTATGGTAAGTGGTGTTATACCAATACTCGGCCCAAGGTAAATAATCCTCCCACTGCTTTGGAAACTGATGCACACTGCACCTTAGGTACTGCTCAAGTGTGCGATTGGTCACCTCCGTCTGTCCGTCGGTTTGTGGATGATAAGCCGAGTTCATGCTTAGCTCGGTTCCCTGCAATTTAACAAACTCCGACCAAAAAATACTCATAAATATCCGATCTCGGTCGGACACAATTGACTGCGGTACCCCATGCAATTTCATCACATATTCAACAAACAATTTCGCTATAGACTTAGCCGTGTATGGATGAGTAGGTGGAATAAAATGCGCATACTTGGTAAGGCGGTCGATTACCATCATTACTCCATTGAACCCATTCGAGAGTGGCAACCCCTCGATAAAATCCATGGTGATGTCCTCCCAAATTTATACGCGCGGGAACCAGCAAAGGTTGGAGCAGCCCGCCCGGTCGGCGCGCGTCCGCCTTAGTACGTTGGCATTCATCACATCGCCCAACGTAGTCGCGCACATCGCCCCTCAGCCCCGACCAATAAAAAGTGCTCGCAATCCTCATCCATGTCCGGTACACCCCCGAGTGTCCTCCAAACTTCGAGTCGTGGAAGTGCTGGATGATGTCCTCGCGCAACGATCCCGCCTTGGGCACGACCACTCGCCCATGATAAAGGAGCAAGCCATCGTGCATGTCATGGTCCTCGTCCTCGTCGTGTCCCACGTTCAGCTTCCCGATAACGTCCTGGCAATGCGAATCCTCATCTTTTGCATTCTGAAGCTCGGCCCAAACGGCCCACGTCGGTCCCGTCACGGCGTCGAGCTCGGCCACGTCTTCCTCGCGAGACAATGCGTCGGCCACGGTGTTCTGGCGACCGGGCCGATACACTATCTCGAAGTCGAACCCCATCAACTTGGACCTGAATTTCTGCTGCTCGGGTGTCACGATCTTTTGCTCGAGCAAGTGCTTGAGCGGCTGCTGGTCCGTGACAATCCGAAAGCGTCGCCCAAGCCAAGTACGGCCTCCACACGCGTACGGCCTCGACCACGGCCAGCATCTCCTTCACGTACGCGGACAACCCCAAGCGCGCCGGCCCGAGTGCCTTGTTGAGATAGGCCAAGGGTCGTCCTTTCTGCATTAGAACCGCCCCGATCCCAATGTCGCTCGCATCCGAGTGAATCTCGAACAACACATCAAACCTCGACATCGCGAGCACGGGCTCCTCGAAAGCCTTCTCGCTCGCCTCCGTCCAATTAAATGCTCCCTTCTCGTCATCTCCGTGAGTGGCTTCGCGATGGTCCCATAGTCCTTCATGAATTTCCGATAATAGCCCGTAAGACCAAGGAACCCTCGCAACTGCGTCAAGCTTGTGGGTTTCGGCCAAACTATCATCGCCTCAATCTTCCTTGGATCCGCCTTGACACCATCATGAGAAATAAAGTGCCCAAGGTACTCTACCACCTCTTGAGTGAACGAACACTTGGACGGCTTGATGTTGAACGAGTTAGCCTCTAAGATCCCCAAAACAACCCGCAAGTGTCCAAGATAATCCACCCAAGTCCTTGAATACACCAAGATGTCATCAAAGAATACCAACACAAATTTGCGAAGGTACTCCTTGAAGATGGAATTCATCGCAAACTGAAATATCGACGGCGCATTGCACAAGCCAAAAGTCATGACGAGATATTCGTAGTGCCCTTGGTGCGTGCAAAAAGCCATCTTGGGCACGTCCTCCTTGGTCAACCTGATCTGATGGTATCCCGCGCATAAGTCGAGCTTGGAGAAGTAGCACGCGCCACCCAACTCGTCCAGCATGTCGTCGACGCTCGGAATGGGAAAGCGATCCTTCACGGTAGCCGCATTAAGAGCGCGGTCGTCCGTGCAGTACCGCCACGTGCCGTCCTTCTTCTTCGCGAGCAGCACCGGTGACGAGAACGGGCTCGTGCTATGCTGGATGAGTCCAGACTCGAGCATCTCACCCACCTGCCGCTCGATCTCTGCCTTCTGAAAGTGCGCGTACTTATAGGGATGTACGTGCACTGCTCGACCCTCCTCGACCAAAGGTATGTAGTGGTCGAACTCCCGGTGCGGCAGCAATCCCTTGGGTTCACCGAGGACCTGGTCGAATTCTTCGAGTAAGTCACGCACCTCGCGCTGCCTCTCCTCGGTTACCTCCGCGTCCTCACCCGTCTGCTCGACCACAACGGCGTACAACTGCCCGCCACCTCGCCACACCTTCTCGATGCTTTTTAGACCAACCTCCTTGGTTGCCCCTTCACTAGCCTTCTAAGTAACGAGCTGATCACCGGCCTCGAACTTCATCACACCTTTCCGGTAATTAGTCGTCACATCTCCGAGTCCCTCGAGCCACTGCACCCCAAGCACCACATCTGGCCCCACCAAAGGCAAGGCAAATAAATCTGCCTTCACCGTCACTCCTTGAAACTCTATCGGCACGCCCCGGTACATCTCCGAGCACCGCAAGCGCTCGCCATTTGCCACCCTAACCTCGAACGGATCAATCGTGGATGTGGGCAACTTGAGTTTGTGAGAAAGAGTCGCATTAATGAAATTGTGTGACGACCCGTTGTCAACGAGTACTGTAACCCGCCGATCCTTCAACCACGCCGGCAACTTCATAGTCCTCAGGCCTTTAGTGCCCACCATCGCATGGACTGAGATCTCGGCCTCGTCATTGAGCACCTCGAACTCCACATCCCGTTCTTCCTCTATCACCGACTCCTCGTCATCCGAGTCCACGAACTCGATCAAGAAATTCTGCTTGCACCGATGTCCCGGCGTGTACTTTTCCTCGCACCGGAAACACAACCCCGTCTCACGTCTCCGCGCCATCTCCTCCTCCGTCAGCCTATTCACCTTGGTTGCTGGTGGTCTAAAGGTGCCCGGCAGCCTCGTGTTTGCACTAGGTGCGCCCACGGTTGCCGGCACACGCCGTGGCTCCGGGACACGAAACTCCGCCCGTCCCCTTCGAGTCGCGGCCAAGTGATCCTCCCGTCTCCTAGCAACCTCCATGGACTTGTGCATGGTATTTGGCCTCTCCAATCGCACTTCGGCCGCGAGATCATACCTAAGCCCTCCAACAAACGCGCCAACAAGCGCACTCTCTGGCCACCCGCGAACCCGGCACGCCAATCTCTCGAACTCCTTTTGGTAGTCACGTACACTCCCTGTCTGCCGGATCCGAGTCAGCGCCTCATCGTGGTTAATATAGTCTGAGTTCCCAAAACGCATAAGGAGCTCGCGTTCAAAATCTTCCCAACGGATTGGTTGTTGTCGCCCGCGATACACGCGCGTGAGCCACTGCCACCACACGTTGGCCTCACTATCTAAATAGTACGCGGCATACCGAACCCAGTCACGTTGCAGCATCTCATTTAAGTCGAAGAACTGCACCGCCCTGTTCAGCCAAGCGTCGGGGTTGGTTCTCTTGAACGTCGAGAGTACGAGCCTCTGTTTCTCAACACGTGGTTGCTCTTGTACGTTCGACGCCTGCGACCGCTGCTCGTACTCTTCCTCCTCCTCGGGGTTGTGCTCGGCCCGCTACTGCTCCTGTTGCCTTCGACGCTCGCGTGCGTTCACCCGTGGTGACTGCTGCTGCTGCTGTCGCTGGAACCCGCGCAACACCTCCTCCAGGCACTGCTCGAGACGAGCCACGGCAGCATTGGTGCTGGTCTGTCCCTCGTCGAGCGATCCCATCCGACCCTCCATGCTCTCGCTTATGGCCTTAAATTGGCCTTCCAAACCTTCGACTTTTTCTTTCAACTCTCGATTGGCCATATCTTTTCTGGCTTGCCTACGTTCTCGACTTCCCAGACTAATTTTGATTTTTTTTTTGGCTTTTGACGATTTTTTTTTGAACGAATGAAAATTAAGAAAGAAAAATTAAAAGAGAATGGGAATCGAAAGACACACGATCGACCCTCTCAATGAAAGCACCAATGATGAAGACCATGTGTCTTGATTGCCAACAAGCCGCTCCCGCGCCTTAAATCGCCGATACTGTGCTTGGAGGTTCACACACTCGCGCCCCTTCGAACGATAATTTGCAATAGAACACTTAACGTAAACTAAAGCAAGAGATTTGAACAAAGTTCGGTTTTTTATATTAAGAAAAATAAATGATGATTAATTTAGAACAAGGCACGCCTATTTATAAGGCTAAAAATAAAGATCTAGTCCTAATCTACTTAGACTAAACTACTTACTCTAGGAAAGCAATAAAATATAAAGTGTCCTAAACAAAC